ATTACTTTGCAATACTTAAAAGAATTTTGGAATTGTATGTAATCAAAAGCATAAATGTGGTATGCTTATTAACCAAAGCAATATTTAGGATGATCTAAAGCATGGAAAGCAAAACCTACAGTGTTGTTTGTGACTATCTCTTGTATCAAAACCATGCAAGTATCTCTGTAGTCATGTGAGGATACTGTTCCTTTACCCTCTACCAGACAGAGGGCTCTGTGGACTTGACTAGAATGAATCTTTGGAGTGCCATACTTCCCCTTCCTCTTCCCCCCTTCCTCTGACAGTCAGTTGGTCAGACCCTTTCCCTGGCAAACAGCCCTTTCCCTGGCAAGTTCTACAGTAACACGACTAGGGCCAACATCTGGCATTTGGCGTGATATGGGTGCCATACACCGCAGAAATTCTGCATCCTCTAGAAAGCCTCCTGAGACAGGCTCAGGGGCACCTCCGGCTCAACATACCCAGCAGTTTCCCTTAATGAGGCTTCAAGTTCATGCATATGCCTGGTCCCAAACACTAATAGTCACTCAGGGAATTGCAGGCAAGACCTTAGGTCTACTGCAGACTAAATTGTCTCTGAACTTGTAGCGACTGCCGTGTAGCATAAAGGTTGGAAACAGCTTTTGTACTGCCATGAAAATGTTGGTGGTAGAACAAAGTGAAAGTAAATAGATGTCAGTGCCCTTTCTCACATTACAAATGCCTTTTTTTGTGCCTATGACAAAAGATAATAATTTGTGCCACTTTTTGGAGTGGCGAAGTCTCTTAGCTTTATGGCGGGGGAGCACAGGGAGCCCAGAGCTGTCTATGCTCTCTAGCTGTCCCAGGCAGGTGCTCCCAGGGCCTGAGGGCCCAGTCCTGTGTGCCCGGGGAGTTCCCATGCAGGATCAGGACCCTCAAGCCCCAGGAGCCCCTGCCTGCTTTTCTCCACTTACAGAGCTGCTCCCCAGAGATTGCCAAGGATGTATCTGTAAGTGAAGAAGATGTTGCCCGTGGTCCCACATGTTCAACCAGAGGGACAACAGGTGAGGTCTCTTTCAACCAGTGAAGCAGATCTGCTGTGCTGAGACGCATTGCAATATAGCCGATCCACGTCATTTAGTGACACCTATTTATGGTTCAAGATACCCAGGCTAGCTTTAAATCAGCTAGCTCAGGTACTGTGGTAATCACCTACCCATGAGAGCACGGAGCTGTACATGAACTAATTCACCCTTTTCTGAGGTAAATTAGCAGTGTAGGTGCTGAGGGCACATCTCCCAGCCCTCAGGACTTGGGGGGACAGAAGGATTGCTGGTCAGCAATCAGTAGTGCTCTGCCTGTGTCTGGAAGTAAAATGGAAACAAGAAGAAAGAGACTCTCAGAACCCTCTTTTTCCATTTTCCAAATATACACATTTTGAACAAATCCCAATTTAGGTTCCTATTTGGAGGGGAAAAAATATGTACGTTGTTTCATACATACAAGTTACCCCACCGGCTTCAGTGGGCCTACAACAATATTATGTAAGTAGTTAAATATCTTGCTAAATGAGCATCTTGGCCCTAAGGCCTGGTCTAGCATACATTACCCACTGAGAACACTACATATTACTGGAAGGTTTTGTTAGTGAATGTTTGCAATAACACCAGCAGCGCTTATTTTTAGTAAATGTAACACAAAACCAACTTCTTGCCATTCTTTACTAACAATATAGCCTGTTAACCATGCAAGGTATGGATAAATCTTGACAACAAGACAATAGCAAGAGCTTGCTGAAACTTAGCTTATTTCTCTGTCTCATTAGCACACTTAGCTACATAATTTGGCTTCTGCTTCCATCATGTCCTTCATGTATTATTTCATCTAGCCATGATGTATAGTTAAATTATTCAGCCACTAGATAGTGCTCTACTAAACATTAATGACCTTCTTCATAAAGCTGTACACTGATTTAATCTTTTTCCTTAGTAATTGGCAAAAATAAAAAACACAATACTGAGATAAGGGGTGGAAGAATTTGAACTTCCAGATACTACAAGATTAATTTGTTTTTTCAGTAATAATAAGGAGAATAATGGTTTTATTCAAGGAGTATATGATGTCAAGTTTAACCAAATACAATGTGCTTGCATGCAATTATTAAATCAAAACAGCAATTTATTTTCAAGAAAGCAACTACACGTTTGCATGGCTAAAGTTGAAGTTATGGGGTTTTTTATTTGATGTTAGAAAGCATTCATGTGTTGATCAAATGCTCATAAACAATAAAGGAGGAAATTACCTAAAACACTAATTAAACCCAGCATAGGATAGTAATTTCTGTAATGTTTTGCCCAATGTATTTAGTTTGCAGAAACACATTTCTTTCTGATTCTCGAGAACTAGAGAAATGTGTGTTATAAATAGCTCAGTAGCAACAGAAGTAATAAAAGGGACAGTCTTTCAATAAGCTTTGGTTCATCAAAATATTGAGCATGTTGGAAAGCCACAGAAAATACACGTACATGTCACACAATGTAATTCAGTCTCTGAAAGTAAGGGATGCAGGGATGTAGCAACTGTGTACCTTTTTGTTTTTTCTGGCTGGAGATAATTTTTACTGCAAAAGAAAAGTCTGCTTAACACAAAAAGTTTTGCGATAATGACCCATAGTTTCCTAAAGAAACAGGTACAGAATACACAGTGACAGCATAGGTTAGACCCACATTTATCCTGCTAATATACCTCAACCCTGAATTGGAAGGAGTCTATTAATTAAATGCCTGTTGAGTTCTTGATCTGTTCTGAAATTATCAGCAGAGAGTCCATTTAAATTTGGGGTCGAACAACAGTGTCTTATAATATCTCTTTAAATGTAATAGAACATTTCATTCTCTAAATGTGCATCATTTGCTTTTCACAAATCTATTTTCAATTATTCACTTTTCTTCCTCCAAATTGCCGGCAGCATTATTCTGACTTTTGTCAGAGTAATGAGCATTTTTAATACATATTGAGTATATATCCCACTCCATTTTTAAAGTTCAGCTCTGATCTCAAATCTTGCCAATATCATGGCACCCAGTCTGCTGGTTGCGTGGTTTTGCAATTTTTCCAAGGATCAGCCATGGATTAGTGAGGTGCAGCTGGTATGTTCCACATGCCAAGAGGTATTGGCACATTTTCTTTCCTTTTTAATGCCCTTTTCTGAATAAATCCTTCCTTTATTTTTCCCCCTTTTTTCTAGGGATTTGTTTTTGTTCTCTGCTATACTTTATCTTTCACTAATTGTGTGTTATGAGACAGAGCATGAGCACCAAGACTTTTATATCAAAACGGCAACTGAAATGTTCATGATTGAACAAGTTCAAGCTTCTTTCAAAATAAAGGCAAAATAATTCACTAAAAAATTAAGTTAGTTTTTTAAGATTTCAGTCATAAACATAAGCACATCTTACTTGAAGATTAGATAAACTAGTAATTTCTTGAAATGCAGAATACATTTAAGAAGTTCAGCAAAGCAATCTTCAATTTGTATCCTGCTTCCATTAAAACATTAAATATAAATGATCTTAGTCCAATTCAATTCCTGTGTTCAAGATCCATCTATCTAAACTTGCAGATTAAAAGGTCTGATATTGCTATCATGATTTATGTATTCACCATGGTTACAGAGCAAGCTATGCTTTGACCCTCTTTTAATTTCTCTTAAGTGATTAGTAATGCATGTGGTGGCCTTCATCTGAACCTCCCATGTACCCAGTCATGTAAACCCAATAGGCCCAACTGAGTTTAGTACATGTAAGACCTTTTCTCTGGACTGTAACAAGCAAGCTAATCAAAGTGACTTAAAACACAAAGCAAAACCTTTTTTATTCTTTCATCTGAAGCACAAAGAACCAAGGTACACACAGAGCCAAGGGACACAACAAAATAGAGCTGACTATGTCAGACTTGAAGATCTACAAGGTCCCTTCTGACCCTACTTCTATGATTCTATGTATTTGCCCTTACCCACACCTTAACCTTTCCCTGCAAAACTTACTAGCTCTATTGAGCCCAGTTATCTCCATCTCCAGATTTGGTTGAGCAAACTGCAGTGGTGTAGCCTGCTCTGTGCATGTTCTTTGCCTACAGTCCATGTTACATTTATGGTGTGATTAACCTCTTAATCCATAAATAGTAACAGTGCCACACGTTCAGCTGGTTTATGAAGTCATGAAGTGGTGAACCAGCCTCAAAGGTATTTCACAAAAAATATGGAACATCCTTGATTCTGGTGTGTGTGGCACTGTAAACTGAATGTGTGGCATGCCGCCATCCCAAAGCTGATAAACCCTGGGGTCCTTGCATGGCAGTCACATGCTTGGGATCTGATCTCTGATCCCAACAGTTGTGCCTGCTGCCATGCATGTAGCACATTTCTTCTTCACACTTATCTTCTTTATTTTAAATGTTGCAATCACAATAATGACTTACAGATAACATCAGAAACAGAAGGGAAGATGATATTAAGTTTCGTTGGCCAAAGGCTCCATTCAAACACAGCTGGGGCCATCATGGACTTATTGTTGAGTCCTTCCACTATTTCTGACTTCCATTAATGAACTGTGACAACACCTTTAGTATAGAGATGATTAAAAAAAGTAATAAGATATAATTCACTTATGTCCTGGTGTCAGCCTTGTAAAAGCACCCTGCAACCCAAGTGATAGAAGGGTACTGGGAGCATGTTACTGATACTATAGTGATGATCATTGTTAGTGCTCACTGTTTCTCTGGCATAGAAAAAATAATAAGTGATCCTAGTTCATTCAGATCCTAGTCCTTTAAAAATTGTTCAATTGTAAACAGACTAGAAAAGTAATCAAAAACACTGTATCTGGGTAATTAGTGTGTCTTAAGTTTACTAATTAAGTCTAGCAAATGAATTGTTTTTTATGTATGGATGGTTATGCCAGAAAATAAGTTTATCTTGCCTTTCCCCACAGTTTATGGGTGCACACTATATCTTTTGGATTAAGAATGATGTTTTCTTAGTTTAGAGAGCAAAACTCCTATGACTTCTTTCTCTCCATAATACCACCCTTTTACAGAAAAGCGGCAGGAAAACCTTGCTGGCAGGCTAGCTGCTAGTTATGCCAGCTGGCAGTAAAAAGCCTGCCCAGTGAGAGGCTTCTGATGGTCCTTCCTGAATATGGGTCAGGTGTGGGCTGTGAGGGAAAAGCATTCTAGGAGGCACATGCCCTGGATCTCAGGTCTCATGGTTTGGACAGAAAGTTAAGTTTCCAGGTAGGATTGTGTCAGATGTAACTGGGTCTGGTCCCTGATGTAAACTGCCTGAATTTTCCCCTGCAAGGTGGCTCACAGTTATTGTGAATTTAGGTAATAAGAAATGTTGCATATGCTATAATGGGAAGATTATGTTGCATAAACCCCATGCAAATGAATAAAAAGTATAATGCAAAACAAGCAATTAATTGCAAACCGGTGACTTCTTTTGAGAGCATGGCTTCCTCATAGGGTGTTTCTCAAAGAGTGCATGTGCACCTTTGTGTATAGGATCATGCCTGCGTGAGAAATCGGAAGGGCAATCTTGGAATTAAAGGAAAATAAAACCAGCTCTCCTCTCTCCATGTTCCTATACCAACATATAAAACACTTCCTAATATAATAAATACCTTGACCATAAAGAGATGAATGAATGTGAACTATGGCAGTACTAGTCAGACTCAGTCCAGCCTCTTTAATGGCTGACTAATACTGCCACAGTTAAATTTCCCCTTGGGTTAGTTCCAGGGCTGTCCAATTTCAGCACTGCCAGGGGCTGTGGGAGTGACTCTTCACCCCCACCCCCTGGAGTCCCCTGTATTGTGTGGACAGTGCCAGTGACACCCAGCCCCTTTCCGTGTCCCAGTCCCACCACATGGCAGTGGAAGAGGCAGATGCAGAGGTTTGTAGACTACATGCCATCTGCAGGCCAAGTGCTGGCTGCTCACAGCCCAGAGGCCACCAGTTGGACAGCCCTGCAGTCACTTACATAGTTCACAGTACTGTGCATAGAATTGTTACAAATCTCACTTTTCCATGTCAGAAAAATAAGGGGACTGCATGCTCTGTGTCATTTAGTTATGCAGAGCACAGTGAATTAAACTCTACTTTCTTGGGCCCCTTCTAGTTGCTCTGTATTCCATTCTGCCTTCTCAGTCCTGCGTTCCAGTTCTTACAAATGTACATGCTGTTCCCTTAGTACTGAAGGGCTCACTCAACCAGCAGGCTATGACATAGAAATAAAATGTATTTGTTAAATCTTGTTAAATCCAAAATGTGATATTGTGTCCAACTTTGTTTATACGTGAGCAAAAGGTAGCACTTGATTAAAATAAGATGTAGATTATCAGTAGCACCAGCTTTTAATAAAATAGATCTGCTTTTCTGCAGCTAGCTTGCTTTAAGACATGGCTTTTTTCCCCCTCCTGCTCTCCCCAGCTGACTGACAGAAAAAAAGGGTTTAAAATCTCTTGTTAATGCTGTCTGCCAGCGAGCTGTAATACTGTAGTAATCAGAGTCTCATGGAAATGTACATTCAGCGAAGTCTAACAATGCTGAGAACATGTCCTGAGAATGTCCAGCTTAGCTTGAGCTTTTCAACTAAAAGGCAAATCAGGCTTATATAATCTTTCATGGGAAATTCAAGCCTAAAAGCCGCACAAGCCACTGAAGTTAAGCACAATGCTGCTTTTCCCCCTTCTACCAGCCATTAGTGTTGTAACTAGGGCAGGGCAAACAGGGAAACCACCCCAGGCGCTGACTTGGTAGGAGGGTGTGAAAAAAGCAGCTGCTTCCAGCGCAATCCTGATTGCACAGGAAATGGAAGTCGCTGTTGCCCGTGTCCTTGGTGCCTGGGTATGCCCCTGTACTACTGCCAGACATAGTTATTTTCTTGAAAAATGTGACTGCTGTGAATATTGCTGTAGCAAATATGAATAGAATTTAACACGAATAGGCATTCATTAGCAAGCACGGAAGTCCAAAATGGCATATTCGTGGTTGTGATAGAAGTCACTAGAACAGCAGTATTGCCAATCCAGCATGGCTGAAAGCACATTGCAAGGCTGACTCTATAATCTGGGTGAGACATGGTGGTTAGGGAAGAAGTATACTGATTATCAGTAGTAATTGCTAGCTACTCCTTGAGGATGGTAGGTGTTTTCTTTTAAAGCAATTAGTCAACAGCATCAATTATGCAGAATCAAGAGCGAGGTCAGGGAGTGGGAAAGTGCCATTCCCTATCCTCTCATACCCCCTCAATGTGGGCAGCCAGTTTTGAAGGGAAAGGTATCCTCTGCAAGCAGCTCCAGCACTGCCAGAGAAGCCAGGGCAGTAAAGCTATAAAGAGGAAGCCATTGAGAGGATGGTGAGAAAAAATGCACAGTAGGGCCATAATAGCAATTAGTGCTCCTGACCTGGTTCTGCCATCAACACGGCTGCTGGTTGAGAAGGCTCTTTGTTCTAATCTATTAGTAAATTTGGAGGATAGTAAAAAGTTGATTATACAGTAACTCAACACAGGCATTTTAGGTAAATGACTGGAAGACAGAACCTATGGTGCATCAGGGAAAAACATGAGCAAACTGAGCAGGCCAAGGTAGCAACAGAAACTGTAAAAGAAATACAGAAACACTAAGAGGTTTTTCAAATAGATGAGAGAGAAACTAATGAGCAAAGTAATCACTGGGGCTGCTACAGGCCTTTAGTAAACTGGTGACAGCAGAGGCTCATTAGAACAACGGCACTGAAAACTGACAAGTACCAGGCCCAGACAAGTTTCACCCAGGAGCTTTCAGGGAAAGATTTAAGTGAGTAGGAAAGCTTTTTGCAGGAGTTTTCATTTGTTCTTATAAAGGGAGGTGAGGTATCAAGAGAGAGAATGGGTACTACAAATAATTTCCTTAGGGTGTATCCAAAGATTAACCTGAATGTTACAGTTCTGCTGTAGCTGAGGGACTAGTTTGAGCAGTTCATAGTGTACAGATTTGGTAAAATATTAAAAGTATTCATTCACATGAGGTGAAATGGGGTGCCTAATAAGAGAATTGGAATGTACAGTGTGTATTGCAGAGCAGGTCTTGTAAAAAAAAATAGAGAAATAATTTGTAAGAATTGGATCCGAGATATGAAGACAGGAGTAGAAGACCTATTCTTTTCTAACTTGTGTCAGCTTTAATTCATATGTCTATGATCCAAAGTATTTTCTATGAACAAATGAACAATAAGGAAAAGTCTCCTCTGCAAGGAGCTTACAAACTCAAGAGTACCCAACAAGCACATGCTCAAGGCAGAATAGGAAGTTGGGATCAAAGGCAAAGAAACCATTGAGCTGCCACTTGTGATTTCTTGGGCTTGTTTTTCATTCTCTCACAGTACCCTCAGAACATTGATTGACCTTGTGGAAAATATATTTGATGGAAGAGAGTGTGATCTGATGAACCGCCAGCCTGGGGGTGATATAAACAACCTGCAGGGGAGAAGGCAAAGAGATGATGGTCAAATGTAATAGTTCATGATGTGAGTTATGGAGCCATTTCTACCAATTCTAGCATTAGGATGGAATTTAGACTTTCATTGTAGGCCTTATTTCAGTATCTGATTTGAAAAAGAGAGACATACACATACATTTGTTTAAAATAGGCAGGGATAGATAGATGCATAGAACATGGGCTGTTACTAGCTTCTGCTTATGGTTGTCTGATTCTGTACCCCAGCACTCTCTGGGGCACTAGTTAGGCCAGCTTTCACCAGTGAAATGGTTCACAGTGAATGGTTCATAATGTGAACAGCTTTTGGCAGAGCCTAGCCAATGGGCCAGTGCACTCTGTGTCTTCCTTTGCACTTTAGGGGCATCTCTATACATGTTCTGGGGTGGGAAGGGGGGGGGTTTCTTAATTAAAGCAGTTCTTGAGAGCCACTTTAATTAAAGCACCTGCAGTGTCCCATGTATTCAGCATCCCATGCTTCAAAATGGTGGTGGGGGCATTTAAGCTCGATTACTTGAGTTTGTTCTGACAAATGCAAATGAGCACGTTATTCACTTACTATTTTTATGTTCATAAAAATGATCATTTGCAAGTGTTGCTGCCTGATATGCTTGAGGACATCACTGTATTTGTGTGTACAAAATTTGTGTATGAGAAACTACAGGATCAGTTTAGAGAGACTGTGAAAATACATCTCTCTATCTGTGGCTTTTTGACCTCTACTCCTCACTTATAAATCAATCTTCTCAATTGCCTCATTGCCTCACTTCAACCCATCTCCATCTCAGTCTTCCATCCTTGTGACTCCTGAACATTGCTGCACTGCCTACAAAAAAATGCTGCCATTCCAACCACACAATTTCTATTATAGTTAATAGTGCAATTATTTCTAATTAAAATATTGGCATCACTAATTTTTGCCTTTCATCTGCAATTAGTATTATTAGTTTTGACTGGCAAGTGATCTTAGAAACTCAGCTGTGTTACTCAAAGAAATGAAATTGTACTAAATTGCATTTAAAGTTCTAATCCTAAATGATCTGCTAAAATTAACATTAATTTACTTTCTTTACTTGTATTTATTACCCTAAACCTATATGTGTTCCAGATCTTGGTTTGATTTCAATTCCCTCGCATGTTAGATATTTCCCAAGGGTATTTCTCCCAAAAGGCCTGGTCAAATGATAAATTCATCAACATTAACCAGAACCAGAATGAAGAGGAAAATGTGTTCTTTAAACTCTCTTTTTAATAGAAACATCTAAGTTAATCATTTTAGAATGAAAATAATTATTAAAGAATTAAAATAATTCCACTGAAAATAATTGCTATCCAGTAGGGCTGTGTGAAGCTTCAGTTGCTGATTCGATTTGGAGGAGATTCAGTCCAATTTGGCAGCCAAATCTCATAATCCAAATCAAATCAGGAGACCCTTTAATCTCTCCGAATCGAATCGGAACCCTGCAAATCGATTCGGAGAGAGTTGGAGACATTCAATGATTCAGACATAGACACAGCTTTACATGCTTTTTCTACATACCTCAAGGTACCAGGCGGCTCACTGAATGCTGAGATGCTGGGGCAGATGGAGTGTCCCATGGGACCATGGCAGAGTCCTCAGCATGCTCGGCGGCACACCAGTAAGTGAACCAGAAGCACTTCCAGTCCACTTCTGCATCCACCAGGGAGCACGCAGGGAATTCCTCCCCCTACCCCCAACACAGTGACTTGTGCCTCCTGGGTCTGGAGGGGCACCTGGGGTCCCCCCGCGGCCGATCACCGAGCCGAGGGTATGGAGGGGAGACTGCTGCTGAGCACATGGCGGGGGGGGCCGCACTCCTGTGGGATGTTCCATTCACCCCAGCATCTCAGCATTCATGAGCTATGCCTGGTACCTCGAGGTATGTAGAAAAAACATTTAAAGCTGTGTTTATTGCCAAACCATGGATTCTCCAAATCAGCATCGAATCTTTAGATTTGGATTCAACTGAATCAAATTGGGACATTTGAATCAACGAATTGAATCACTGCCCCCCAAATTGGGCCAAATCCCAAGGAATTGAATCAACGAATTGAATCACTGCCCCCCAAAATTGGGCCAAATCCAAATCAAATAGAGCCCACTTCTCACACCCCTACTGTCCAACAACCCAACATTCAGTGCAAGCAGTAGTTTCTTACCGTTACAAAATAAAAATGTTTTTATTAGATTAATCTGTTTTGGACCAATTATTGTATCTATTTATGTAACTGCTGAGTACTTAGAAGTAACAATTTCTTCCTAGCTTCTTTCCCAAACCATAGGAGAAACAGATTGAACTGGTTTCTAGGGATGCTTTTTATGTTGGTTTGTGGGTGGAGAGACTGAGTAGATGCACTGTCATCTTTGTAAAGAGCAGGGTACCAGGAAGATACAGCCTGGTTTTTCCACACAGATTGTATGGATTTAATTAAGTTGGTTCAGAAGCCAGTGTAGCCAGTGTGCAGCTCCACTTTGTGAACACATTTACATTGATTTATTAGTCTTTTATGTGCTGTATGTTGCTTAACAGAATGCAGGAGCTACTCAACCCAAACCTAAGGTACTTCTTTTATTTCTTTTTAACTGTGTCTACACAAAGGGTTTACATCAATTTAAACTACACTGGTTGTGCAACTTCTGTGTGCATATACAAGAATGCTAATTAAAATAAATAAATGTTGTGCTTCCTTCTGGAAGAAGAAAATAGGCCTTTTTGCCACAATAGCAATGTGGGTGGCCAAAAATACTGTGTAGTCCAAAAGTGACCACAGGCCTAATGTCCTCAATTGAGAAATGATAGAGAGGAAGCTAGTTCTCCTTCCTGTCAAAATCATTTCAGTCTTGCCTGGATTCAGAATTCACCAGTTCCACATGTTGATTTTAGCTAGGCTGTAACAGAACGGTGAGAAGGTGCTCTACATGGAGCTCAGACTTACTTTTGGCTCCTTACTTTACCAGTCCTCCAGATGGCTTCATAAAGCTGCCTCATACAATGAGGGGAAAGGATTGAACTTCGTGGGACTGATAACTTGAGGTAGAGGAAGGAACTGAGTCATTTCCAGATTTTATCTTCACCTCTATTGACACTTAGATTCAGGCAACACATATTTGGTAATAAAATATGTCAAATACTCAGAGGCATCCAGAAACATTACTTTAGGTTAAACATTACTTTAGGGTGAATAATGCAGGAAAATCACTGTATTAGGTTGCTGCCAGTCACCTTGCTTTACAGTATTCAGGCGACGAGAAGGAGGCTTGAGGTAGAAAACTATGCTGGTACCCTTGTAACTATGAAGGGATGAGGCCATTGTGATTAGAAGTGCTGTTACAAAGATTCAGTGTGGTAAGAGGCAACAGGGAACCTGATACCTTAGTAGTGGATCAGGGAATAGAAAGGCTCAAGGCAGCAATCTCCAAAGTGATAAAACTTTGCCCTCTGTCATTTCCAAAAACAATGTTTCATAATGTTATACATTTTCCAAGGAAACCTGGGCAGGTTAAAAAAATACCAAAAAGTTGTTTCTTTTTGCAAGTGCATAGGCATTGTTCCCCATCATCTCTGCAGGGTAATATTTTCCTTCATATGTTTGTCCTTAATCATATGAAATTCCACTTCTGAAGTCTAAAATATTTTATACTTTTGGCCATTTGAGAACAGGACACAAGCTCCCTGCTACCATTTTCCCAGAAATATGCCCTGTGAAAAAGCGTCAGAAATCTGAAAATTACTCTTTGTGATCCCACCTATTTCAGTGCTGGTATTAAAAGATAATCTCAGGAAACTGTAGAGATGCTTTACAAGGTGATGTCTATTCCCTGGGCAGAAAATAGTTCAGTTTCTATCTTATTCCAAAATTGCTGCTCCACTCTCAATTTTCAGATTTGTGACAGCTAAGAGAATAACTGCTGTGCTGCGCCTGCCTCCCCTGTAAATCTCATCCTGGGTGTTCTAATGTCATCCAGCTATCAAATCAGAAATGTGAAAGTAATCTACAGTTTCTGCTTTAAAGTACTTGTAAGACTTAGGATATGTTTTTAAATTGACCTCCCCGTCAGTGGGCCTCATTACTGTATAATTGCATTAAATTTAGAGCTCTGTATTGCATTTCCTGAACATCCAGAGGGGTCACCCAGAAATCTTGTCATTACGTTCAAATTGTTTTAAAACTCTTCAGCTTTATGGAATCATTGCCAAGATGGAGCTTTGGGAGCCTCTCATGCTATAGGGCAGCACATTTCAGTGCAGCTCTAGGAAATGCATTATTCAGCATCTGTATGGAATACCTCTTTAGCTGACTGCTGTGCCCTGTTGGAGGGATTGTAATGCTTTTTCCTATGGTGTGGCATTAGATAAGCATAAAGACCACAAAAAGAATTTCACAACTCTGAAGCCCAGTTAGCAGAACTGAGTTCTCTTGCGCAGTGGGATCATTGCAGGAATTATATCTTATTTGGATATATTTACGCTTTCTATTTGACCACAAACTTCATGCAACCTGGCATATTACCTCTTTGCTGTGCTTTGGGTTAGAGCCCCAGGCTTCCTTCCCTGTGCCTGACAAGCAGGCTTACATATTTCTTGCCACTATCCTCTGCATTGAAAACCTGGAGTTGAGCCTTGCCTCTCTCACTAGAAATAGATGTCTCAAATGAAGTAGAACACCTGTGCCATGACATGGCAGCACAGCTAATCTGCTTCACTGGGCAAAACACACATAGCCCTTTGTCCAACCCTTGATGGTGCAGGTCAAGGAGTAATGTCATCTCTCTTGTTCACTCAGCCAGACCTGTGCCCTGGGGTGTGGGTCTGGCTGGGTGGGGGAAAATGGCAGGGGGGGGGGGTTGTCCCACCCAGCCAGACCTCCAGGTACAGCTCAGGAAGTAAAGCACCACGGAGGTAATAGACTCTACCACTTTATTGCAGCTGGCGCCTATTACCATCTTTTGTTATGCCACTGATTTTCTTTTCATATGGTGCAACAAAGGGTATCAACGCCTATTTGTTCAGCATTTATGCCACCATAAAAAAAAATGTATGGTAGCACAAATGGGATTTCGGGTGACATCTGTTTCCACCCTCTTTGTCTTCTGGCAACCAATCAGCTCTTTACCTGCTCTGATCTGTGTCCTTGGAGGATGGCTTCCTGGCACTAGATGATGCCAGGGATGGGAAAGCAGCCCAGCTGGGCTGCCTCACTGCCCGTGGCACAATCTAGTGTGGGTGATGGGGATCTAGTGGGTGATGGGGATCTAGTGCTGACTCCCTGTCCCCTGCCGGATCCTGCAGCTGGACTGACTTCCCATCTCCAGCCTATGGTCGAAATGTTTTCACTTTCAAAATGTTTCAGCTAGCCTCATTTTGTTTCAAGGCTATTTTATTTCGATGGCCTTTGTTTCGTTCCGATTTTGCTGTTACAACCTCAAAATGAGTCGAAACAGTGTTGAAACAAAATGGCCAGCAAAGTTTTGCACAGCCCTACTGCACACCGTGATTTCCCCCCCTCTCCCCCCCATTCTAGATTAGTCCCTGTGCACCTGGATCTCACCCCAGGCCACCCAGTTCAGGCCCTTTACCATGATCAGCAGATAATGATATTTTCTCCTTGTAAGAGATGCTTAGGGCTTATTTTTTACTGTATAAATTCAATGCATCAGGTTTTTTAAAGCAACACTTTAGTTAATGAACAGCGAGGAGTTTCCCCAAGCATTGCTCATCAGCAGGAACTGAAAACTCTACCCTCAGATTCACAGTTCTGAGAGAAGAACTTAAAAACACTAGGCAAGGAGAAATTTTTCCTATATATTTTTCATCTTATGATATTCAAGCTGTGGAGATTTTGAAGTCATTTTTGGAAAGATTGGAAGATGGTAAATCTAAAATATTGTAGAAAATCATCATATTCTTGTGAAATAAGCCAAGCTTGAATCTGGTGCAATTATTTAAAATAAATAATATTCTTGTTCCTGAGCACTACGGGAGTGATTTGTAAGGGGTGAGAATTCATCTAAAAAGTTAAAAACTAAGTACAGCAGGAAGAAAATTATTAAATTCTTTCCTTGTAGCCATGTGGCCAAAGTTTACTGAAACCAAATACGATTAGCGATTTAAAGGTTTTTTTCAGTAATTTGTAGAAATGTTGAGAACTGCAAGTCTCTCTAACAAAGGTATTTACATCTTGCTTGCATTTCTGTATTAATTGGGCAGAAATAATGAGGTTAATAAAGCTGAAAACTGCAGCACCTCATACTGTTTCAGCAATTTGTAGAGGTTCCAATTATTGCATTTAATTCACATATGTGAATTATTTTAATATCACATCAGTCAAACCTGCATCTATGGTAGCAAGTTTCTATTCAAGTGTCTTTTACAAGTTAGTACGGGGACTTTGTTCAGAACTGCGGGTTCTATTTCTGAGTTTCACATGTCTGTTTCAATCATGTGTAAAATTGGTAAAGAATTTTCTACTTTACTATGAGCCTGAGAGCTTTGAGACTCATTTTTAAAGAGTTATGAATGCTGAGTATATTTGGTTTTTATGTTCATTTGTGGAAGACACTATTTTATGTTAGATAGGTTTTAAGTTTTATGAAACTCTCATGAATAGTTCCCCTGACTTGACTGGAATAGCTTTATGTTCATGGCATAGTTTCATGGAAATCAACTGGACTGTTCCTGGCTATGGACCTAAGCATGTACCTCTGTGTTTACAGGATCAAGAGCTTAGTAAAAATTCCTTTGTATTAGAGCAGGGGGTACTTTGAAAGGTCTCAAGGGGTATGTGGGGGTGGGCAAGGATGGAGCACTGCCACCCCATGCCACTACCTCACAGGAGCATGGCTGGGGTGGGGAGAGAGTAGGGCTGCGCATATGCCATGTTACCACTGCTCTGCCACTTGCCAACCCCCTCCCCCTGAGCTCTGCATCTGGCTACTTGCCCCTGCTCCTGCTCTGCATCTGGCCACTCACCATGCCCCCTCCCCACCCCGCTCCACGTCCAGTTGCTCACCACTCTCCCCCAGGGGTACGCTTATTAAAAAGGGGGCCACTAGGGGTACACATATTAAAAAAGGTTGAAAACCCCAGTATTAGAGAGAATGTGAATCAGCTGCTGGCTATTCAGTTATGATCAGGATTCAGGCACTTTATTCCTTTATGCAAAGTGGCTAGTATTCACTTTGGATTCAGCTGATTCGAGGGACAGTGATTCAATTTGGTGATTCGAATCACAGTTCCAAATTGATTGAATCCAAAGATTCAGAGAGCTTCAAATCAATTTAGACCTTTTTATTGGTCCCCTGATTCAATTCAGATTTGGAGATTCGGCCACCGAATGGGGCTGAATCTTTTCTGAATCGAATCAGCACCCGAAGGTTCTCACAGCCCTGATGAAAAGTAAGAATGTCCTAATAGGTAGACTTCTTCCCCTGCGTGACGAACTTCTAATTAATCTATGGATAGGACATGAACTTCCATTTAGAATCCCATAATTTATGCCACTTTGTGTGGGACGAGATAGTGAGGATATATCTGCTAAGGCATTTTGCCTTTGCTTTAAATGAGGCCATGATTTCCCCCAGCTACTGAAGTGAGTCTGCCATCTCACGTCACCCAGGCCATTGAGTAGTTCTCAAATATAATGATTAATTACTTGGTTCAGATACAGTCTTTTGACACCAAGGCAAAAGGTGATTTATCTACTCCTTGAGATAATTTGGATTTAAATCATGCATTCACTGGCATTTGTATTGGTCAGTGGTTATAGTCTCAAAACACTGAAAAATAGCTTCTGTCTCTCAGTTCCTTCCTTCTTTAAGTATTTGTTAATACCCTTTCCTGTCTTGCTAGCCAAATTCCATAGCTGTAGATTCCTGAGTGGCATCATGGTAATTTCAGTGTTGCACCTGAATTTGGTGGGCTGTGCACACTTTTAGGATTCCTCTTGGTTTTGTCATCTTAAACTATACTATTGCTGCCTGTGATGGATTCTGTTTAGCTAAAATATTGCTACAAGTGGTCAGGAATGTTACTGATTTGAAATATTTATTCATATACATCCCATTAATAATTCTTCATTCCGTTTCATGAGAACAAGTCTGTCATGAACAATCTGGCCTTTCATCTCTGTCCATCTTTGAATTGGTCTCAGCTAGCTTGTTTTCCCTCACAGGCAGATAGATTGCTATCATGAGTCATTTCTCATCTATTCCAGATTGCATGTCTGTGGTGTATGCACAAATGCTCATCACAAGTTTCAGTAGTCCAATGTTGTCACCCTTTGTGAAACTATGATCCTCTGCCCATCACAGAATACAGAACGCCTTTGGGTTACAGGTTGTTCTGTAGCGTAGTCTGGCTCTTAGCTAGTACTTGCTCCCTCCCGTATGCAGAAGCTCATATTCCTACTTTAGTAGGAATTTTTTTGTACTACTTCAACTTTTTTTCTTCTTAATGAACCATGTCACAATCCCTATGGAGAGCTCTTAGGTT